AAAAGATTATTTGGGAAGAGACAAATCCAATGATACCCAGTTTTACCTTCTCAGGTCAGTCATTGACCTTCCAGGTCAGGTCAAACTAAAAAATGTTGCTGTTTTGGGTCACCTTTGGATATCAAGTGCGCTGCTTATCATATACCGATGACGATGCCGTTTTCTGGTGCCAAGCCAGCTAGAACCTCTTTGTCACACTACCCGACCAGGTTTTTGCTGCTGAAGTCATTTCAGGTCAAGTTAGGTCAAGGTCAGTTATATGTGTTTGTATGTCTGTGTGTGTCTGAGTGTATACAAATGTGTGACTGTGCACCGATTGTTTATGTGTCCATATTACATGAAATCATGTAATATGGACTATAAGATTTCAAAATAGTTAGATCTCTCACAAATTATAAGGGGGCATTCAAATGCATTTAGCCCCTTAGAATCTGAAAACAGTAAGTTTGGAATTAAATATCTCAGAATTAAAGCAATTCTCGATCTTGTGAGTGCCCAAACCGGTAAGTGCAAGCCAGGGACCACAATTTGGCTACCTCAACTCAAAACTAACTGTAACTCTTACCGGTGGGAGGGGGGCGATTCGGCCCACACCTGTAGATTTGTTCGTCTCGTCGAGAGAAACAAACGAAAACAATAAACGACTAGTAGCCAAAAAACGACCCTGAATTAAGATGTCTAGTCGTAAAAGCTTGAATCATATATTACAGAACGCTACGGCAGCGTTTCGTACGAATGGGTAAGAAACGAAAACAATAAACGACTAGGAGCCGAAAAAAAAACGTACCTTGAATTAACCCTCGCCCATGTAGGGGGGGGTTGGTGCAACCCCCCCCTGAGGTTTTTCGGAAATAGCGCAAAAACGGCTGCGCGCAGCGCCGCCAAATTTTGGGTACCTTATGGGGCAAACCTTGCGCATCTTTTAATAAAAAAAGTTTGACCGGGTCATGTCAGGTCACGGAGTTATGACGTCACAAAGGGAACAGCCTCAGGCCGGATTTTCACAAACTGAGTGTCAACGCCCGAGGTTTCCTGCCGGTAGTACGGACATCGGTTGATGGATCGTGATGAAACTTCCCATGCATGTTGGGGCAAGTATTGGCTATCATATGGTATAAGAAACTTGACCGGGTCAGGTCAGGTCACGGAGCTATGACGTCACAAGAGGAACAGCGTCCGGTACTATTTTTGAAAAGCGCCCGAACCACTATTTTGCTAATTCTTGTCACCTCAATGGGAATATGCAGCAATATTAGCTTCTATAGGGAGCAAATGGACATCCCAAATCCAAAAATACAATCAGATTTCAAAAATTTAAATTTTGATTTTTCGAATTTCTGCCGCCGACTGTGACCTTGCCGACTTCCGGCGCTCCCAACGCGCCATTTTTAGAGCTAGAGAAACGAAATACATACCAAACGATAGAGAATTGATCAAGGAACACGATAGTGAAGGTTTCAAGTCGATATCTCCCACCGTTTTGCCGCAATCGCCGCGGAAATTTTGAAAAAGTCTATTTTTCCGAAAATTTGACCTTTGACCGGTCAAAAGTAGGTCAAATGTTGACCTAGGACCAAAAAATATACCACCAATCGCGAGATCTCGGCGAGAGCAATCCGTTGGTTTTTTCCGCTAAGCTCTACGACGCTCCGTTTTCAAACGCCAAGGGGGGGGTCGCACCAACCCCCCCCCCCCCTGCATGGGCGAAGGTGGCAGATCGCCGTTTACGGGCGAGGGTTAATATGTCTAGTCGTAAAAGCTTGAAATCATATAAAGTAGCGACTTACTTAGGTTTGTACTGGTGATCAGTGGCCACACCCGTCATACTCGTATGTATGCACTTATAGATTATGTGTCGTCATTTTACAATGAAAATATTGGAATAGGCGGATCCAGGTACCTGAGAAAGAGGGTAATATAAATGTACTGCCCCCCGTGTTAGCGTGCCTGAATCCGCCTATGCTGAATGAAATTTGAAAACGTGCATTTTATACCCACGTTGCGCATTTTACATGACATATGACACATGGACAAAAACTCAAAACATCATCCCAAGTTAGCTTACCTGAATCCCCCTATAATTTTTAAAATATCCAAATTCCGGAAGATATAAGTGAAGGCCCAGTTCATGAAGAAGGGCCCCATAATGCTTCATCAAAATCGGTCGAAAACAAAAGAAGTTATATCATTTTTAGTTATGAGGTGTAAAACGCATTTGTTTCGAAATTTTTGCTTCCAGGACCCCAGTTTTAAACTTTTTTTTTTACTTTTTATAGTCAATCTGAATGTTAACGATGAGAGCAACCAAATGGCATTCGTCCCATCAAGATCGGGCTGAATCGACCTAAATCGATAAAATCGATCGAGTTTTTGAGATATAAAGGGGGGCCGAATCGACCCCTCCCCCCCCCCCCACCAGTTAACGTAGTGCAGAGAGCCCACCAGTTATAGGGTTAAGGTGGGATGGTCACTTTAAACATCGGAATACAGGTAAATATGACACACTGAATCTAAACATTGTTCCGTGACCCCTCCTTACAACCTTGATGTCATCTCAGGCATGGGTGGAGAATGTTTGAAAAAGTTACCCCGGCCAGCGACCGCGAGTCGGAAAGACCATATGCTCAAAAGTCAAATATATAATTATACATATTTGTCAACGGTGATCAACAAGCATCCATCCTGTCGCATGGAAAAATGCACGTTGTGTATTTATGTTCATTGTTCAGGGATGTGCATTAGCATTGAATCATTCATAACGTTTTTGACATGATTGACAAGACGATCTTCTTCTTTTTCAGCAGTTTGCAATTTCACAGCATACCCATAAGACACCATAGGTTGACACCATATGCATTATGCAATTATGAGTAAAAATGTTGCGTTTTCAGTTTTTTATTGTGTCCTTAAAAAGTTTCAAATGACGAGAGCTCGTAAGCTCGTAACATTCGAGTCAATACACGAAAGTGGGCCACTGACATCCAGGGACGGATATTTTGCAACCTTGGGCGGCTCAACCTCACATGTGACAAACAAAAGTCGACCCCATAGCATTATGTCGACCAGTAGTTCTTAAACACCGCGCCGAATACGCGCCAAATTTTTCGAAGCTTAGCACAATTTGAGAGGAATTCGGGCACTGGCGACCACAAGCAGGCTCTAAGATCGGAGATTATGCTACCTGCCAGCCTGATATGCATTGGTACGCTCGCGGCAGTCTGCTTTTAAGAAACGAGAGGTTCTGTCTGTAGACCTTACCCACGCAGTGGCGAGGGGCCGCGAATTTACGCCACTCCCTCTAAAGTTTCAGACACGCTTATGCTGCATTGCATCTTTTCTGCAAATGCTGAAAAATTCCGACTCAGAACATTCAAGGTCAGGCCACCAGGTGACATCAAGTGACCTTGTATCCATCTTCGTCGCCGCACGCAGTTACGCGAAAATCAGTTTAGCTAATTATGCATCAATTTCGCAACATGGTTCAAACTCTCGGCACCAGGTCACCTAGGGTCAGGTCATCAAGTCAAATTTGCTGAATAAACATGATTAAAAATTGCAATCCTGCTATTTGCAAAGCTTATTTCCTAGAAAGTTGTAACTTTTTCCACACTGAATATGCCAAATTTCGTCGTTTTGGTCCCATTGAGGCCAAGCGATTGATTTTAATTCGTATCTGAAATCGTATTCTCGAACGAGCCTTAAATTAGGGCTATCAAATGTTTTATTCTAGCTTCGTCAATTCTCACGAGCTATGAGAAAAGTGGTTGGAGAACGCTTAAGTCGGGAAAATTAGTTTTTCGATGGCCAATGGTGGTCTTGCCTTTGAGCAGACCTAAGATAATGACCGAGCTATATAGGACTCTTATTATTTTTACACTCCTTCAAACGGCATTACCGCTCCTCGCCACGTAGCCCAGTATAGGCGAGTTAGAAGGGACGTAAAACGCCTACCTCTTGCCTCAACGTGCTACGATAGTGTCACCAACCTGGCGCGGGTTAAGCCATAGGTGGTGGAAGGGGGGGGGGGGGCAACGGGGCACCGTGTCCTCCCCTTGATTTTGCCTTTATAACATTAGCCCTAAGGGCGTTGCATGGAAAGAATAGGACAGAAAGTCGGCAGTGCCCCCCCCTTAATTGAAGGTGTTCCGCCGCTACTGGGTTAAGCTGGGGGAGCCTTGAGCTTCAGTAGCTCTCTCTTGGTGCTCTACATATATCACTGATATTACCCTAGATCTGCCTTGTAATGTTATTGTTGTAGTGCCGTCTTACGGTAACGGCCCTTGATTTGCATTTAATTCTGTCTGATCAGGCTTGTACATTCTCGATGAAAAGTTTTGAGTAGAAGCTTCAAAATAAAAATAGAAAATTTGAAAGGTAGATAAGAGGGACACTTTCATAGGTGGCACTTGGTTTTTTCTTTTCTCTCATGTAGATACAGCTTTTAGGATTTATAGAAGTGGAAAAGGTTACCCCGGCCGCGCCGGGGTAAGCTGAAAGTTACCCCGGCCACGGCCGGGGGTGGCCGGGGTAGGTTCTCCATCCATGATCTCAGGTCATGAAAAGTCGGCAGCAGTTTTTTAAACAATGACTTTTGATAGAGACATGCTCGAGCGCTGAGAACACCTTAGATGTGCTCAGATGGACGATACGGATTAGAGATGTGAATCAGATACAAAGTTTTTGATATACTGATACCAAACCGATGCCAATTTGGTATTTGTTATTTCAAACCTATTGCATTTCGTATTTTGTTGATATTATTAAGCAGAAATAACGTAAAAAAGTTATGAATTTGGCAAAGTGTGAATTTGGTGGCTACCAGCGCGCGGCCCACGGCCTGCTGTCGCGCTTTGTGACCCGATTGGGTGGCCCCATGTCGGCCCAATGTACCCCCGTGCGCTCCTTCACGAGCTGCCTGGTGCGCTCCTTCACGAGCTGCCTGGTGCGCTCCTTCACGAGCTGCCTGGTGCGCTCCTTCACGAGCTGCCTGGTGCGCTCACCTGCTCCGGTGGCCTGTGCTCGATGCCCTGCTGCGCTCGCCGCTCTCCGCTGCCGCTGCCGCTCGCCGCTGCCGCTCGCCGCTCGCCGCGCTGCCGTCCGTCCGCTGGCCGCCGCGGTGCCGCGCGCTCTGAGCGGCGACCCGGTGACGGCGGCGGCGCCGCGGCCACCCCGGCCCGGCCCGTTACCCGCCGCCAGGCCAGTGGCCGCGCCGACCGTCTCACCGCCCGCCCGCTGAGCTGGTACCGCATACCAACCGTAGAGTAGCGCCCCGACGGCACCAGCCGGCTCTCGACATCAGCACGGCGCCAGCTGGTGCGCCAATACTGACGTCCTGAATGAAACGCTTACCGGCGCGCCCGGGCCCGGGCTCACTCAGCCAACTTCACCATGGCCCGGGACCGTATTAGGTCACATCCGGTTATTTCGGAAACTAACTTGTGCCGAGGTAAGGTAAGGCTCACTGGACGTAACCCGGTGACCTTAATTTAGCCGAGCGACTTGGATCTGAAATTTCCATAATATGTGCGGAAAACATGCACGGACAGGCACTGGCAGTGGCAGCCGTTAGCTAAGGGGGGGGGGGGCAAAGTCAAACTCGCGGAACATAACATTTATCCGTCAACCGGGGGGGGGGGGGGGGTGATCGGCCAAGTTTGTACGTGTGTAGCAAAGTCGACGCCACAAAGTGCCGCGCAGTTGGCATTTCTTATGCTTCATCCATCCCATTCTTGCGTACAATTTTTTAACTCAGTTCAAGCAAAATAACCATTTCCATTTACCGTCCCACGGTGTGCTCACCGGTCGGGCCGCCGCACCGAGGCGACAGATCGGTGCAGCATATAAAGCCAAGAGAGCATTTTTAGACTATGGCATTTACCGATGCTGTAGTTGTGTGGCTGCGGGAGAGAGTAGGTACACCGACCTCTAGATTCCCTCCACAGGTTCCGCTTTCAAATTTGGCATCTGAGGGCCACGCGCAGACTCCTGCGGGGCTTTGCAACGGCTCTGTTGGGGCTCATTCATCCTGCCATAATCCTCAACTGCCAAAAAGACTGTCCCTGGGCCCTGGACACTTCATCGGTCTCTGTCAGCCAAGGACCCACACCGGCTCATGGGGCCCGGCGCCGAAATATGAGGAAATCTGCGCGGAACCATCGGGACACGTTAGGCTCTGCAGGAGTTTGTGTGAGTCCTCAGAACTTCAGAAGTCCACCCCTGTATGTTTTCACTTAGAGGCCATTTTAGGGCCCTCAGAGACTAGTACAGGGCCTGCAAAGGCCAGTAGGTTGAGACCATCAGAGACCGAGTTGGGCCCTCAGAGGCTAAGGGTGCGTTTCACGCGTAACGCTATGAGAAACGTTTTTCGTAAATATCTAGAGCATCGTTGCTTCGATTGCCTTCATTTTTGGATATGATATGAAGGACGTTAACCTCGTCATCGCAGAGTGGTTACCGTTGTTCTGCAATCCACATATACTGAGCAATTGAGACAAACATATTGTAAAATCAAAATTTCAAACGAATAGAACTCAACAACGAATTGTCGTACGACTGTGATGTTTGCAGTTTTGGACTGACGAAGTCAAGGAAAACATTTCCTAGCAAGCCTTTTTTCAAATTTTGTACCTACTATGTTTTGCATGATACAATTTTCATCTTGCAGTGCATTGCATGAAAGCCATGACAATTTCAAAAATGTGGCTGCTAGGAATCATAAAGACATCGATTCTCTACACAATCCTGTAGAGTGAATCATCATTGCATGCATCACTATGCAGTTCTATTCATTTGAAAGTCATTGCACAGCTAGTTCATAAAATCGCCGAGAGATGTCTCTGGCTGTATGGCCCGCGCGTTTCGACGGTCCCCTCGGCTCGTCACTCAGCGGCGTTTGTTGACACAGTGTCACACCCATTAGTTACGGCGGTCCGCTGGCGTTCGGCCGCCGTCGAGGTGCTCTGAAGTCTGAACCCTCCCTGCTACGTTTCGCCGTGACCAGACGGGTCGGAGACTCATCCCACGATCTATCCATGAGCGGCGCCCAGCCAGGCGTCTCCTATCGCGCGCCTTTCACTCTTGATCGGGAGTACGCCGGGAAGAGCTTCTGAGAAACTGACAACTTTGAAAGAAGTCACTCACAAGTTTGTGTGAGTGGTAGGTATTACGAACAGCGAACAGGTATATTTTGACAATATGTATTTGACCTGACCTGGGCAGTCGGAACTGAACATAAATAATGAAAATAACCAGCAATACCTACAAATTCCATGGAGACATAGACCCAAGTGACGTGAGACCAAATATCAGTTCGACTGTTATGCCAAAACCCTCGCCCTAGCAGGGTATTTTTCATACCCCTCCCCGGGCGTTTCGGGTTAAGCATATTCATCTGTGCCTTCTGATGCGATAGTCCGGCACCAGTGTAGCTCATGCTGATAGCTCATGCAATAACCCGAGTTTCGAACATCTAGGATATACCTGAACTTGGTGACCTAAACTTCTGAGACCGGGGTTCCACAATTTCACACATGATGAGAAATTAATGCATGATAAGCTATGCCAAGTTTCGCGGCGCTTAGGTATGCCGGCAAACAAAAACTTGCAAGTTTGACAAAAAAAAAAACACCCCACTTCCCCAAGCAAGGATTAATGAAGCTAACACTATGAATGTGACTGAAGCTGCTTTCCTGTACCTCATTCTGTTAGCCAACCCTTTCATTATTCCGGTCTTTCCCTATCCGTGTGTGTCGGCGCGGGTTCGGTCCAATGTGGTTCGACTGAGTGCCTGACATCTGGTCCTTTCCGCCCGGCCTGACCGGCGCGGCGGACCCGTGCCGTGCCACTCCTCCCCGAACTCGCGGGGCGCGGATGGGGAGGGGCGGTCCGGCAGTCGAACCCCTCTGCGCTAACAGATGGATGGACAGGGGAAATGTGATACTTGTCCTATGACAACAAATCGGCGTTCAGCGCTAGGGCCATCTACTGGTCTAGAAACGTATCTCTATGTCGGCAAGATCCTCGCCAGGTGGTGTAAAGGTCGCGTGAAACGCACCCTTAAGGCCGACATGGGGCTCTCAGAGGTCAGCGTAAGGTCCTAAAAGACCGGCATGGGCCGGCGCTGGACCCAGAGGCCAGCAGAGGGCCCTCAAAGGCCAAGATGGGTCATCAGAGGCTGATACGGGCCCTTAGAGGCCGGCATCGGGTCTTCAACAGCCAGTGCGGGCCCTCATAGGCGCCTAAAGGTTAGTTTTGGTACCCCAGATCCAGAAATAAGGCCACCAGAGACCGGTGTGAGGCCCTCAGATGCCGCTTGGGGCCCCTGAGACCGCACCGTGTTTTAATTCGGGCCAAAAACTGGCCAGGATGCGAAATATCGACTATTTTGAAACGTTTCCATTTGGCCACTATCGTGTTCAAAAATGATCAGAGCATCTTTAAAGACGGTAACTTGTATTCTCTATACTTTTGAAAACGTTGAAAATGTACAACAAAGTCAGACAACTCTCAAAAACTTAACTTTGGCGAAAAAAACGCATAAACAGTCGCCGTGATTCACATCAATATCTTCGAGCTTTGGATTGACAACTATATAATTTGGGTACCAAACGATAGCGCGAACTTTTGTCTTTGTAATGAGTCATAATTTATATAATTATAATGCATATAGGTGTTACATTTATTTATTTCCGTCGGCCCTTACATTGGCACACTTTTTAGAAAAATGTCAATGTTCTAATACAGCTACAAAAAAATCGTACGCTAGTGTACGGTCTCAGACTGCCACCACACTGTGGATCAAGGAGTTGTCTACACTCTACATGCCCTCAAAATTTAAGTTGCGCCTCAGTGCGCCGGTGTTGTGGGTGAACACTTTTTTGAATGAATCATGTCTGCTCCTGCTGAGCCATGGGACGGGCCCTAGCGTGCGTTAAAGGAAGGGTGCCACCTTTTGGACACAACGCAGTTTTTACAAGATTAGCTTCACATGAACCTAAAAACCGGCTTCACTTACCTATGCTCGAGACGGTCAGCATTGAATCCGCACGTGAAGTTATCATTTGCGAGTTTTGCTGCCAGCATTCGGGCAGGCAAAAATCTTCAGCACTATTTCCTCGTCGTGTTAAGGGTATTTTATAAAACATGAAATCAGCAAAGGTATGTATAAAAGTTATACTTTTGAAGCATGTTTTATCATTTTGAAAGGGTATATTTTTTCTTTATGGTATACACTTAAGTTTTAAAATTTTAATTGGGAAGTTTTTCTAGTAAGTTGCATGTAGGGTGAAGGGTTCCATAGATCTCTTAAGCATTGTAAAGGAAAAACCTTTACTCGACTTATTTGATGTTCTTTTGACGTATCTTACTTAGTTCAACTTACTTACTACAACTTAGTTCAAATCATGTTATCTTCTTCCTTTTTATTTGTTCATCTTTTTGTCTCAGTTGCGCCATCAATGCAAATGGCAGAATGACATGTTGCCATGACAACAGGATATGCCAGCCGTCCTAGCTGCCACATCAAACGACCTTGAGTTGTAGTGGTGATATAAACAACGATCTTTTTTTTGGCCAATGTATTAAATGCAATGTTTCGGTTTTTTGTATATTGTGGACGCGCTAACCACGTCTAAAAATTCAAATAAGTAAAATAGATTCATAGAACAAAAATTTCGGAAGGTGGCACCCTTCCTTTAAGGGAAAAGGCTAGTACTCCTCTGTTGTGACGAGTTGGAGTTGGCCAATGGAAGGTCACCGACCTGTGTGCGACCTGCCGTACTCTGGGGTGTAATCAGCTGACGGCACGACCCCCCACGACACGTGCCAGTTGCATTTTCATATGTCGCGAGAAGAAAACAAAGGCTCTCCGGAACCAGAGACCGGACAATGTCGGTGAATGACAGTTGTTCATTCAAAAACTGCTAGCATTCCCATGAAATATACATTTCTTAAATATCAACAGCATTATCGGTGTAATTGTAGGGAGGGTTTTCGACGGAAGCGAGCGAACGGTGGCCGTTTTCAGTTGTTGCAAGAGATACTTATGGCCCTTTCACACGTAGCAACTTTTCCGGTCGCCAGCGACAGCAACTGTCGCCGGCGACCGCCCGCGGTCGCCCGCGATCGCCAGCGACCGGGGTCAGTCGCCGGCAACTCCGCAGTTGTCGATATCAGCTGACCAGTCGCCGGGGTGTGACGTAGCAGTCGCGTCAGCCAATCATTGAAGAGTTGTCGGGGTTGCCGAGAAAGC